ACCTGTCAGTGCTCACAATGTTATTGCTGATGGGTGTATTTTTTTCTTTGCCATAGAGCTCCATTTTTGTCCAACAACACATCCACGAGCCACACTGTTGCTCTGGCTTACATGCTCCTTCATCACCATGAATGTACACACTGTAGGTTATTTTGAATAATCCCACACACACACCGTCCTGCTGATTCAAATACTCACTAGAGCGACAAATGTGGATTAATCCGCCACTAATGCACTGTGAGTAAATGTTTCTGTGGTACATCTTTAAAAGGGAGGAGGTATATGATGGAGATAATGTTAGAACTATTAAATTAAAGAAAACATTTAGGTTAGCCAAGTCAAAGTTTACTTATATAGTCCAAAATCATAAATTTATGGTCTCAAGATGTAAAACAAAGCAGCATGAAAATAAGCTTTGTTCCAGCAGCTATCATTCAGATCAACAAATAACATGCCACAGAGTTTTTCTTGTTTTTACCTGCATTTTTACTTTATTTATTCTAGTGTTTTTTATTGATTCAGATTTTTAGAGTCTAGAGCACTTTTATCTTTAACCTTTAGCATGTTTGCATCATGTTTGTCTATTTTGTTTATAGTTGTTTGTTTTTATATTTTTGTCAAGAGGAATGCCTTGTCTTTTACTCACTCACAGATTATTAAATTGCTGGATCAAAAAGTAGGGTGGATCCTGTTTTTTTTTTCAGGTTTTGCAGCCACTCCTATACGCTTGGAGGGCTGCAGCTTCACCGCTAGATGCCACTTAATCCTACACACTGGCCCTTTAAACCTCTGTAAGGTTGTAATGTCTGAGCCATGCCCCCGTCCATTGCTCAGAAAACTATCAGCCATCATAAGAGAGGCACAGTTATTATTAATGAGACAAAATGCAACATAAAAACACCCTATTCTTACTAGAGTTCTAGAGAGAAGCAAGAGTGAGGAGATGACTATATTGAGATGGTTTTTAGCCCTTAAAAACACAAATATATCTTGTTCACATCAAAACAAAACTTCAAATAAAACATAAAATATGGGACCTTTAATGAGTATTTTCTAATATATACTATTAAGCAGAGGAACAAAATGCAGAAAATGCACTTATAGTTTCTCAGCATAGTATAACTGACAGAAAAATACAACACACTACATACTGTAGTAAAAATGATTTTATGTTCTAAAACATTATTCAGCTGGTTGAATTAAATCAGATCCAAGCACGCAGCTTTATCCTTCATTTGGTGCAGTTGACCTTCATCAGAGCATGCATGTCTGTTTACAAGACACTAGCATGGATCTCAGTCCACTTTGATTTCCGCTGGCCCCCTCAGGCAGAGGCAGCAGTGGAGTGGGTGGTGACATTTGTGTGTGGTGTAGCAGAGAGAGGCAGGCTGAAACAATTACCTCTGATGTCTACTGGACATGGGTTATTGTGTCTGGTGTGTGTGTCACACGTGGCAGCTTTGTTCCGACAGCTCCACTGTCTTCACATTGAAGTCTGATATAAATGCTACACTTGCACAAGGAAGAAACATTTAAAAAACTAGTTTTTCCCCCTGAAACGTACTTTTAAACGAATATTATTATGATTTGCTTCTGGAGTTGATGGATAGTTTCTATAGAATACTGTAGGAATTTACAGCATAGCAACTACAGACAGATGAGAATAAACATGATGCAGTATAGCTACAGGTTATCCTTCTGTCTTCTAAGTTTACAGAGAGCAGGTGTCATGGAGAAACAAATGCCATACACTATGAACACTGACTTGTGATTGGTTGGCAGGGCTTCATTATTTTGTTTGCTGTTCTAAATCAATGTGCCATTATTGTGCCAGTATTAAGCTACACTGTAGGTAACAATAGCAACAATGAGACAGTCCGCAGCTTAACTGAAGAGTGTTCTTGTTACTTCTTTTTTTATGAAACAGTCGAATAAGAACCACACAAATGTAATTTATAAATGTTTTGATATTTGCGAGAATTTGGTTGAAGAGAGGACAAAGCAGAGGATTTTTCAGATGGGTAGAGTGAAGGTGTTGTGGACAAACTAAATGTACTACAACAACAAAGCACAATAGGACAAAATTGTATTGTAAGTAAAGAAAAAGATATTTATCATTTTGTTGGCACGTGACTACTTATAAGCGGGATCATACCCTCCAGGGGGCATGTTCTATGATTTTATGCACATATGCAGTAGGGATGGGTTCTGATAGCTGAATAAGAGTGGATACCCTTCTCCAAAGTCGACCAAACAACTGCCAAATGCAATATTTGCGCAAAGGTACTTACAACAAAGGGAGGTGTGACAAGTCCCTGCTTACATATCTACCTACCGTCCACCATGTTGAAGTAAGAACTTATGTTATTAAATTCCTCATAACCTACCGTCAGTGTGACACTGTATTCTGTGACAGTGACAGTCAGAGTCTATGGACACAAACTATTAACCCCCCAAAATACAAGATCATTGTGCATGCAGAACAATCTGTGATTTATTTAGTTCAGTGATAGGGACAACAACTAGGGGTTGCCAAAACTGCACAAGGCATCAGTGGGCCTTCTTGATTTCAAGGGGTATAAGAAAATGTAAACAAAATATACACAGCAGGCCTGTATCTCAGCATTTTGTTCAAGTAAGCTAAATTAAATTAAGTCTATTAAGTGTGTATAATTGTTAAAAAGAAATTTTCAGGAAAACTCATCTCTGATTAATATTTACAGGGAATAATCTGCACAGAATTGATCCAAATCTCTCATTTTACACAACCTTCCTGCAGTTACTGGGTTCACTGTTTGTGTTCATTGTACAATTTATCAGTTGTCCTGTATTGTTATTGTTATGCATTGAATATAATATGACATATTTATAAAATATATCACTCAGTGAGGGGTCGCCACTTTACTAAATGAGGTTGGGAGCCATTGATTTTGTTGATATTTGCTGAATAATTACCTATTTCTACTGTGTTGTTTTTACTTCAGCTGCTGCTGTTCATGCAGCTGTATCGCAGCCGTCCGTGTTTTCTGTCCTTCCTTCAGCCCAGTAGAATATTCATTGTTCAGGTACAGTAATACTGAGTGAAGTACATATCTTTTTTTTTTAAGTAAGACTTTCATTCCCCACCAAACAACCCACCTAAAAAATTTCAATAAGGCACTCCGAATCCCTAACGTAGTTAGAGCTGATTATTTGTCTTATCTGGTAGAATTCCTTACTTCAGTTTTGCACATTGAGTTATGCATATGAATGAAAACAGCACTGCTTCCAAACAATGATATTATTTTTTAACCGTGTATTAAACTGTGCCTAGGTATGTATGTGTACATGTCTACATGGTGTATGTTCCACATGTCCATACTGACCTTCTACACAGCGACAGCCGGCCTGCAGCACCCAGGCGTACATGTCCACCCTTGACTGTGACATCAGCTGGTCACCCATCAGGTAGGTGTTGTGCGAGGAAGCGATGAAGTAGTTGCACAGCGGCTGGTTCATGTCCTGGATCACGTTGTAGTGTTCTGGGTTGAAAATGTCCCCTGCTGGGCTGCGCATATAATTTGTAAAACCTGGAGGAAAGTAAAACAGGTTAAATAAACAATACAGTTTGTCAACCTTTCTGAAGTGTTGCTTGACACGTTGTCCACTGGGAATCAGAGTGAATGTGTTTGATGAATTCATACTGCACAGTGATTCTATAAATTAGCCATTCTTCAGAGAGACTCAAGTTTTACCCAGAATTATTGATTTATTGAGATGTTAATCTCTATAAACATAAACAATACGGTTTGTCAACCTTTCTGAAGTGTT